TATCTGTCAAAAAAAAACAACAACAACAATAACAAACACACACACACACACACACACACACACACACACACACACACACACACACACACACACACACACACACACATTCCAAAGCCCCTGCACAGAAAAAAAATGTCTCGGTCGGTCGAACCAGCTGCTGAATCCTGTAAGAAGTATAACTATTAGCATAGCACATTTGGAGTGGAACATAAACCACAAAAGATTGATGTACATATATACTTAGATTAATAATTACACAGGAGAATAATTTTGCTAAGCTGAGTGCATTTCTACCAATGCCCTGAATTGCCACAATCACTTTTACAATTTAAATATTATAATGTTTCTTTGATTATCATGAGTCACGGGTTTCGGGTGTCTGTCTTTTAGTAAAAAAAACAAGTTAGATCAATGAAATTCAGCAAGAAAAAACAAAACTTACCCAAAACATCGCCACGCAGACACAGCACCAGGCCACAGAGGCACTCACGTGACTCGTGTGACGTCGAACGTGTCACATGATCTAGCCCGCTATTTATACGTCCAGTGAACAGACCAGGGACACATTCGGCAAACCTCACAGTTTCCGGGCGCACACGCACAGGACTCACACTCACTCACAGCTCACACAGCCACCCCCGACGCCGGGATCTCATTGAGTCAACGGACATCGCAGGTCAGTTTTCTGTTTAAACAATACTGCTGATATCATTTTTTTTTTTTTTTGAATTTTTTTTTTTGTCCCGTGTCCTGATTTGGTGCCGAATATTTGTGAGTTACACTTTAAAAAATGTCAATGTGGTTGCTATGCTTCAAAAACAAAAACAAAAACTAAATAACAAAGCAAAATACTGCGAACAAGAGCATGGCAAATTGTTTGGAATGATTTTTTCGAAACTGTAGAAAAACTGGGAGAGATCATAACTAGAGCGTGAACCAGAGGTAGATTGATAAATAGAGCGACAGACACGTGGATACAAGGGTTAAAAGATATTTTAAGAGGGCGACAATGTAAGAAATCAGAGAAAATTTGTGCGCTTCTCTAAACTCGAGGTAGTCAGGTGCAGCAGCCTCACAGTGAATCACGAGACTTTTAGCTGTGGTAAGAGTTTTACGGTACTTGCAACACAATTCGGTCATATAAATGCCGCAGATTAAAGGTGACGCTAGAGAGTAACATACAGAACAAAAGAAAGAGGGGGTATAAGGAAGGATGAGACTATCAGAATATTTATGCACATCACAGATTCCTTCAAATTTTATTACACTTTATAGTTTTTCCACTCCGAACCTTCGGAATTAAATTCAAGAAATGAACTATTGTAAGAGACGGTTTCTTATCGTGTTACTCTCTACATCTACAAATCAATTTAATAAAGCCTATTTCAAATTTGGGCCACACACGAGAAGCAGTCACGCATAACTGTGATTTTGAAATATGGCCAAGTTTCCACACAAAAATCTTATTTTTTCTCGTAATTCAAAGTTCTCTGCGTGCAAAAGTATAATGCTTCACAGATATCTTTCACCCGTTAAGTGCGCCCCCC